CCATGTGCAGATTTCGTGGCAGGTGCAGCACTTTGTGAACCTCCATGTGCAGATTTCGTGGCAGGCACAGCACTTTGTGCACCTCCATGTGTAGATTTCTTCGCAGGCACAGCACTTTGTGAACCTCCATGTGCAGATTTCGTGGCAGGCACAGCACTTTGGGAACCTCCATGCGCAGATTTCGTGGCAGGCACAGCATCTGGGGAGCTGGAAGCTGAGAACTGGCGACTTTGTGGTACAACTTTAGTACGCGGAGTATCTGGCGAGCTGGACGATGAGAACTGGCGACTTTGTAGTACAACTTTAGTTCGCGGAGTATCTGTGGAGCTGGAAGCTGAGAACTGCCGACTTTTTAGTACAACTTTAGTACGCGGAGCTATATCTGTGCAGCTAGAAGCTGAGAACTGGCGACTTTCTATTACAACTCTAGTGCGCGGAGCAATCTGTAGAGCTGGAAGCTGAGAACTGGCGACATTGTAGTACAACTTGAGTACGCGGAGTATCTGGCAAGCTGGACGATGAGAACTGGCGACTTTGTAGTACAACTTCAGTACGCGGAGCCATCTGTGCAGCTAGAAGCTGAGAACTGGCGACTTCGTAGTACAACTTTAGTACACGGAGTATTTGGCGAGCTGGACGAGGAGAACTGGCGACTTTGTAGTACAACTTTACGAAGCGGAGTATCTGTGGAGCTGGATGGTGAGAACTGGCAACTTTCTAGTACAACTGTAGTACGCGGAGCAAGCTGTAGAGCTGGAAGCTGAGAACTGACTTTGTAGTACAACTTGAGTACGCGGAGTATCTGTGGAGCTGGATGGTGAGAACTGGCGACTTTCTAGTACAACTTTAGTGCGCGGAGCAGTAGAGCTGGAAGCTGAGAACTGGCGACTTTGTAGTGCAACTTTAGCGCGCGGAGTATTTGGCAAGCTGGACGATGAGAACTGGCGACTCATACCCTACTCATCATACACTACTCCTCATACACCACTCATCATACACGACTGATCACACACCACTCATCATACACCACTCATCATACACCGCTCATACACCAGCTCAAGCTCCAGCACAGCACTTTGTGAGCGTCGAGGTGCAGATTTCGTGGCAGGCGCAGCACTTTGTGAACCTCCATGGGCAGATTTCGTGGCAGGCACAGCATCTGGGGAGCTGGAAGCTGAGAACTGGTGACTTCGTAGGACAACTTTAGTACGCGGAGCAATGTGTGAGCTGGAAGCTGAGAACTGGCGACATTGTAGTGCAACTGTCGTGCGCGGAGTATCTGGCAAGCTGGACCATGAGAACTGGCGACTTTGTAGTACAACTTTAGTATGCGGATGAGGCATCTCTCGCTGCTGAGTCATCTCTCGCTGCTGAGTCCTGTCTCACTGCTGAGTCATCTCTCACTGCAGAGTCATCTCTCGCTGCTGAGTCATCTCTCACTGCTGAGTCATCTCTCGCTGGTGAGTCATCTCTCGCTGCTGAGTATCTGGGGAGCTGGAAAATGAGAACTGGCGACTTTGTAGTACAACTGTAAAGTACGCGGAGTATTTGGCAACCTGGACAATGAAGACATGATTTTGACTTTGAAAACACCACCCACTTCGCGTGCCCGCACCAGCTGCACTTAACTTTCGCTTGCAGATGCCCAGTTGCTTCAGCACGCCGGTGTGGGCTGGTGATCTTGCTTTGGCATAGACACAACCCAGTGCGCTGATCCTGCAGGGAGCACAGACCTTGCACAGGTGGCGCTGTGTGTGTGTGTGTCAAGAGCGCATGCGTTTGGCTCAGTGAGTGACACGAGGGACACGCATGGTGGAGAGAACGTGGACACTCCTATAGGTCAATTTCTTCTTATAGGAAACTTCCGCCGCCGGCTTGCCTGGAACTACTTGTACTAGTCCCGGCGAAATTAGCCATTAACATCCATTAAGCTATTATAGTCAGAGTACTGTATGCTGTTGCAATTGTCGTTCGAGTCTTGAAACTTAGCAGAAACATGCGAGCTCTCAGATCAGCGTCTCGGAGTGCTCAAACGAAACATAAAATTTTCTGCAAGTCTATCCCCTTGAGGGGAATGAGTCAAAAGTGCTGCGGGTGGCCTGATACAGGAACCTGACAAAGTCTTCCCTTACTCACCTCTTGCCACTATTTCAATGCCAAGTCACCATGGAAACGCTGTTTCCAAGAAGTCGTCCCCAGTCACCCCCGGGAGCTGATCCCAATGCAGCGCCGATACCCAAACAAGATTAGATTTGTCACCAAAAGCGCCGACCCCAAAGAGTGCAAAAACCAATGGAACGCTAGTTCTGAAAGAGTGTGGGTTTGATTGATTTACATCCGCTTCCTGTGAACGCTGTAGAAGTTCTGCCACCAACTTAGACACATCAGGTGACTCGACTTGAGGCGACGGAGGTGGACGAAAGGTAGACGCTGGAAGATTCTGAGCAGGCGCGCGCAGCCAGCAGCAGCAGCAAACCAGCAAAGCAGCAGCAGCAAAGCAAAAAGGTAGAAGCAGCAGCGGCGGCGGCGGCAGCAGCAGTGGCAGGAGCGGCAGCAGCAGCAGCAGCAGCAGCATCTGGCAGCAACACCCTGCAACGAGGGCACCTTTTCCTGTCCCATACTGGAAATAAGAACCCCACTAGCTCTCCCAGTAGCTCTTGCTATCTTGGCATAACCTGTCCAAGTCCACAGGTGTACCATTGCGAACTGCACTGCCAAGCCTGGAAATGACTGTGTTGCTACCTGTACTTGTCTCGCATGTATGTGGAAAGTTTCTTGTGAACTGCTTGCAGGACCCACTACAGAACTAAAAATTAATGGCTTCAGCAGGCATTATTAACCTCTTATGAGTTGCCAGTACAGCTTTAAAACACCTTTCGATGAGAGCCCCAGCATACAACCTAAAAGTAGGTCCCTTTCCAACCAACAGAGTTGGCTTGTGTTTGGGAAAAAGAGACAGCTTTCCGCAGAGCATTCCCCCCAAGGCAAAAAGAGTGACGACATTGTCTTTTGCCTGTAGCTAGTGCATTGCTTGTGCCCAGCCTGCCGCAAGGTCTCCACAAACTCCTGGGAGTTCTGCAGTTTCTGCAGCCTCTCTCGAACTTGAGCCGCTTCCTCTGGAAGGGCACGCACCGTGAAGGCCACCTCCCAAAGGCTGCCTTGGAGATTCCAACGAGATAGGAGTTGGGGCAAACATGATCGAATTTCAATTGAATGCCACTGCACGGCGAACCGGACCAAACAACCCGCTAATGCCAATGCCAAATCCCACCACCCTGCCCTATTCTTTGAGCATCGGTTTCGTTCAAACAAGCTTCTTAAACGACGCGGCTTCATGACGGTCTGTGCACTGGTGCTGATCCTGCTTAGCGGGAGGCCTGCAGGATTGAGCCAAGCGGATTGCTGAATCAGCACTTGAGTTCTGTGTGTTCAGTGGTTCAGCTTTCACAACCAAAAGCTTGGAACAAACCATGATCCATGAAGAAAAACAGAAGGGCTTGACTTGCGAACCAAGCAACAAACATACAGAAACAATACTAACATGGTCAGAATCTAACTACTGGACCTCTGGACGCGCTGGCCTAGGACTTGGGACAATGAGGCTGCAACTGCCGCTTCCTTGAAAAGCACAACCCGTAATCACACTCTTGTTAAAATGATTGTGAGATATTGTGAGAGCTGATGACCACATTCAAGCAGCAACACCATCTCAGGGTGCCCACAAAAACACTTGCATTGAAAGAGATTTGCGCCTGAAGCCCCTAGCCAAGCATCAGCAGCTGATTGATCGACACCCTCATTCGCAAAGGACATGGACCCTTCCACGAGGACGAATGAAGAAGCCTGACAAGAATTTGCCAAAGCTTACCCAGCAAGCCTGATAGGACTTGTTTGGCATTCTTTGTGGAACCGCATTTGGCAGTGACCTCAAGAAACCACGTGAAACGAATATATCATATATCTGATTGTATCTGATTAACGTCTTGAAACTATCGGCAGCATCAGCCCATCCAAGGAACATCAAGCTCGCTGGACGTGCTTGACTCCACCGGTGGCCTTATCCAAACGGCTCATAATGCCTTTAGATCTGAAAACAAGAATTGGTTGCGTTTTCTTCACTATAGTTGCACTTTCTACTTTGCTTCAGCCTTGGCGTGGTTGTGAAGCTGCTCCGAGTGGATGTACTCGAAGCCTCGTTCACACTCTGGGGCGATCTGAAGAAGAAATGTTTGCCTACTAGGAAGACATTCACTTCCAGAAAAGCCAAGAGGCCAAAGTGACTATGAGGTCTTCGGTTCCGTTCTCGGTGAGGTTGCTCATATTTGTTTCAGACTCAATCACTTTCGTCCGTGTGAAGCTCGTTGTTGTTGTTGTACTTGACATTGTGGTACTGCTTGATGTTGTGCTGACAACTGTCGAAGTGGTCGAAGTGGTCACCGTCCACGTCGCTGTAGTTGGTGTAGAAGTGGTGCGTGTTGATGTTCTGGTTGTTCTACTCGTGGTTAGGGTAGTGGAAATGGACGTGGTCAAAGTTACCTCCATTCAAAACAGCTGCAACAGGCACTTGCAGAAATCAAATGAGCAAAGTAGTGCGGGTTAAGTTATGGGCACATAAAGCACAAGCACAATCTGTTTGTGCCAAGGGTCAGTCTTAGTGAAGCTCTCTTCACTGCAGACTGCTTCGTCAAAGCCACTCGCTGCCTGACACGTGTAGATCACCTTGGTTGTGCTCAGTGACAGTGCTAGGACCCGGTTAGGACAGTGTCAGCAACCGTATCATTTTCGCGAGCTTCTTCTGAGTCAAGCCTGTGTTAAGGCCTGTGCAACATGATCTGGGCAATCCTTAGTGCCAGCAGAGTGTTGAATACTGTGTTGAATACTGTTGAATAGCTACTCTGAAATAGTTGGCTCTGACTGCAATGTGTCGCAAGCAATGTCCTATAATCTTCTGCCACCGTACAGTCTGATGTCCTATCACCGCGGCCGTTGCAGCCGAAGCCAGCAAAAAGGTGCCTCCTTTCTTCAGCTTAGAATCACGAATGATGATCAACTTGTCCCCTTCCTGCCTGAGGCAGGGCGATAGCTGGCACAAAAACGTCCACAGCTGAAGAGCGGTTGAAGGGTGTCTGTGTGTGATGGCAACTTATGATGGCTTGAGGGGGCATGGCCCATCTCAGAGTACAACAGGCACCTCGTTGTTATTGAGCAAACCTCTGCCGCCGCCAAGCTCATCCTCAGCGCCCAACCATTCACACCGGACTTTGCTTAGCTGTGCAGTGCTGGATTGTAGAACTCGTGCCTTGAATGACCAGATCGGCCCCTTGTGGCCACTTTGAGTCCCAGTTGTAAGCTAGAGCACAGCAAGGGGAGCCAAATGACATTGCGTGCTGCCAAATCGGGGCCCAGCTGAGAAGGCCCGGATGCCCTGTTCGAGCCAATCCGAAAGTACCCGCTTGTTGCCCAGGGCTGTACAAACGGAAGGCCTCCAGCTACACCATTCACAGGGAGCTATGCTTCTTGCATACGAGGCTCCAAAGCAAAAACTGTGCCTTGGACGGGCTTCAAAAAGCAAAAAATCCAATCCCTGTCAACTTGGTATACTGACTTGACCTGGGAACCTTCAACATGTGAGCACATAAGCACTTCTTCCCTTGGCCCCCCGGTTTCAGGTTTGCTGAAATCTTTGTGCTGTTTGATGCTTGTCAGGCTGTTACACCTACTGCAAGACCATGACTCTCACGCAATGAAGTTTCCACCCATGTCAGTACCAAGCGGCAATGAACACTCGCAAGATCATGGAGCGGCCAAAAAGCTTCCACCACTTGGTCGGAGCGGAAGAATCAAAAGTTGAGCGCTTGGGAACGGCGGGTGTGAGGCGAAATCACGTCTTCCAACCAGTTTGGCTTTCTACCGCTGATTTTCATCATAGATCTGGTGCTTGTATTTATTTGTTATCTACACACATATTCTACTTTGTCTGCTTCCTTTGTCTGTTGGTTCAATAATAGGCTTCGGGTGTGTTGCCCGACCTGTAGATTAGTGGGCTTCTTCGAGCCCAACAAGAAAAAAATGGCTGTGGGCCTTATGGGCTGCCACTAGAGAGATGTAAAACAACGATACCAACACCAAAGAACAAAGAGGAAGTCATCAAATACAGTAATAGAAATACAATTGTGAAATGTAATTTGCCGGTGTTTGGCTTCTCTTCCGTAGAAGGTAGGTGAACATTTTGCTCACACTCTTACTCTTGGCAGGCGACAGAATCTTGGGTACGGCAGCCCAAAATGCCCCAAGCCCTAAAGAGCTGGCTCTGGAGCCAAAAGCTGATAGGTGTCATAGCATCATAGCTGTCACGGTGGATTCATGGTCTGCATATTATGGGGGGATTCCGGGGATTGTGTGGACTAGGTCGACGCAGCCAACTGTGAAGCTGAACAAAACAGCTAAGAAGCAAAAGACATCTTCTTGCATAGCGAAGCTAATCGCGTGATTCTGTCCTACCACTGGGCCTTAGGTCGTGCCGGAGGTGCACAGGACATTCCTTGGTGACATGTCAAGTGCATATTGCTATGAATAGGTTCTGGACTACTATGTGTTGCATGTGACGTGCGCTGTTGCGGCAGCATGAGCTTCGTACGGTTCCCGGGTCTTAGCGATCTTTTGAGTTCATTGTTTTCAAAGCCTTTGACGGAATTGTGTCAAGCATGCGGTGATGTTCTTGCCAAAACCAAAAGCTTAGGCTTTCAAGTTACTGTTTTGAATGCAGGATGCTGTTAGTTTGGCTCAGCCCAATGTGGATGCATATGGACGCATCATGCATATACTTGAAGCATGTGAGCATGGAGAAGCATATCCCGGCAAGCCAGTCTTTCTGCACATGCTGTCTCCGTCTTCCCACTCTTTCCGTCAAGTGCTGTTGTTGCCCCAAGCCTGAGCAGTCTATGTACAAAGTTTGGGTGGTGTTGGACGCAATCTTTCCAAAGCTTCCTCTTTCATTAAAATATATTAAAATAGACGTAATGACTACAAAGTACATATTTGGTTTTCACAACGGAGCTTCTTGTCCGTCATACTCATACGCGCATTACAGCTCTAGATTTCAGAGTGCTCCGATCCTTTCTAAAGGAACATTTCAACCCCTTTTGGCCACATTGGCCAACTCCAATCAAGCCGAACCAATCTGCCAAAGTTCTCTGAACATCTGTGGATGTTTGGTCACACACTCCCGCAGGACCTTGCCCAAGTAACATGCTACAGTAACTGTGCTTGTGTCATACTGGAAATGTTGCTTTCAAGTAAAGCCTTTGGCCCTCGCATGAGTCTTGTGGCAATCGCGGCTATGAGCCTGCCCGGATTCCAATGGACTCTTGCACTCGCTGTGCGGAGTAAACCTCTGTAACTCCTCAACTCGTACCATCCAAAGACCTGAAAAACCATGACCGCACTCCACCTCCACACCCGTGTAGCAGGTAAACGTGGTGGAGCAACCAGTGAAAATGCATCGTGTATGCCTTCCATGCCTGGCCTTCGATGTCTCAAAGAGCTGCTCTAAAAATAGAACTCGACGTCTTGCCACCTTGCTACAGCAGGAGACATGATAATTAGGCTGGAGGTTATCGATGCTAGGTTGGAGGCCACAGCTCTTAAAGACAAAGAAAAAGAAAAGGAACACAACGGCCATGGAAAGGACTGCGCACACTTCTGCCTCAACTTTGGCCGCTGGGGACAGTTCACTGTACCCAGACCTTGGTCGTCTGGCAACTGTGCATTGCATTGCATTCATGAAGACATTATGGTGTGGGAATGCATGGGAAATGCTGTGCAAACAAACAATTATTTTCTCGTTGCATTTGGTATTGACAAACAACACACACACACACATATATATATAAGAATAAGAACCTTTTACAACAATCACAAGCACTGCCTGTAAAGTGATACGCCAACGCCAATGTCATCTAGTCTCAAGCCTTTTGCTCAGGTGGGCTCATTTTTTTGAGCTCGTCCACGGAGAACTCTGAAAGCGCATCGAAGACCACCTCAAAAGGCTCTTCAATTTTATGGTGGTTTCCGCTGCAAACCAGCCAATATGAGTCCCAATGAGTCTCAATGACGAAAAGGCCATCAAGTGAATCAAGCATGTTCCCATGATCGCCCATGATCAAGGAAACATGGATGAAGAAAAACATTATCTAAAGGTCAAAGGTCTACTCAAATAATAGGACAGAATCATCAATTGATAGAGCCCCTAGTAGCATCCTTGCTCCTAGTAGTACGGACAGGAGCCCCGTTCGTAGCTTTTTGTGACTAGTAGCGATGCCAGGAGCCCCGTTCGTAGCGTCCGATCGCTCCTAGTTCTTCGTGCAAACCTTTGGCCCAGCCTCGGGAATGGGTGGAACCTCTGTGAAGCCAGTCGCCAGGGCCTGAGGCTTCTGTTGCGCCCAGTAATGCGGGGAGCATCTTTGCAACTCATTCAACAGGTTAGGGGTCTGCACTCACTCTTTGCAACTCAACCTCTGTCCCTTGTGCAGTGGACATTTAGGGGTCTGGCTTGCTGTTCCACTTCAGCCACGCTGTGAAGATCGCAATGCGCGGAGATGCTCAACTGCACGAGGCTTAATGATCAGCCGTGTTTAGCTGCATGGTGTGATTTTCAGTTCTCCTCCTTTCTCAAGTTGAGCTAAAGTTTCAATTATTGGTTGTGCCAACTATGAGGTGTAGCCGTGTAGCGCTCCTGGAATCGCACTCACAACGGTTTGGGCGCGGATGTGTGCTTTTGCTCTCACTCATTGTTCGGTGGCGTCTGGGACGTTCGCATCTGGTTCCGATGCTTTAGGACTCCCAGCGACTCGATAGGATCATATGCTGAACACTTCTTAGAAGTGCAGTGGTGCGGTGAATCCCGGCGACCACTACCGAAACATGTGCCATCTCATCATGTGACAACCTGTCCTCAGGCTCGTCGTCGTCCAGGCCGAAAAAGAGGGGGACGGTTTCCTTCATGAATTCATCTTCGACGGCCTTTTGCTCTGAGAAGTACTGATGCGTCGAATCCTGATCCAAAAAATCCGTCAAACTTTTGAACTGTTTCATGCACAAAGATCTTCAACAGCTTCTTCACTGCCACAAATTTTCGCAGTAGAATGACCGTCTTCTCATCACCAAACATGCCATAAGTACCCGTCTTGGTGGACAACTCTGCCAACTTCACCTGCGTTGTACCGCAAAGGCCCCACTGGGATCAAGATTAACCGCCCCTTATGTGACCAAACCAAGAAAAGCTCAAACTAACACAAGCTAGTAGCAAATAGCTACTAGTAGCTCCTGGCCTTACTACTAGGAGCAAGGACGCTACTAGGGGCTCCTGGCCTTACTACTAGTAGCAAATAGCTACTAGTAGCAAATCCACAAAGGTTTTCCTCCAATGATGGGTCCTTCATGGTCAACACACACTAACACAAACATACAAAACAAACCGGCTGCATGATCCAGCCACAAAGGTAGGAAACTTCTTCTCTCCCGCGCGGCCATGTTCAGCAACAGCAGATTCCAATGCCGCCAGAGCAATAGCCATGTATTCAGTCTTCGTGAGGGCACGCATAAACAAATTGTGGTGCCACCGTGTTCGCCAAAATCGGGGCTCCAGATCAGCCTCGTCTCCCATGTGCTGAGCCTGCAGTAGCAACTTCCGTGCAGTTTGAGAATGAAACTGCACTTCCGAGCAGTTTGGGTCCAAGAGGTTCTTGTAAGATTGCAGGATCTCGTCCCAGCACTGGTCGAGCTTTTGAAAGGCCAAATCAGAGGCTCGATTGGAGTGGAACAGGAAATCTGTGATCATGGTGACCAGAACGGCCACGCAATTCATGGTTAGTCCATCGAAGGTGTCTCGCTTGTCGATACGGTTCGGATGATTGCAGGAGACATCCAACAAGGTGCTGGCTCCAAAGGCTGCCGCAAGCACACCCACCGTTGAAAAGGCACGAGATTGGAAGGACACGAATAAGCCTCCAAAGGTCCAAAGGAAAGTCATGAGAGAGTGTAGAGCCAAGTCCTCGATATTGCAACTATCTACAAAACCTCTCAGCAAACGAGCCAATACATTGCCCAGCATCAAGCCCTGAATTCGGTTCAGGTCATTGACCAACGCTGAGCCGACATACATGGACAGTAGCAGTGGGGCAGTTGCAGCAATGGCAGGCTGCCGGGGAGGAATGAACTTGCCAAAGCCAAAATACCCAATCAGGAAACATAAGAAGAACGAGAAAATGCCACGCCACGCGTAAAGCAAATGATCCTTGTCCATCACGCCTGAAAATATGCTCAGGCTTCCCTCACTCTCGGGAGGGGGGCGGCAAAGCAGATCTGCTCTGCGAAAATTTGCAAACACCATCCGCCAGCTGGATGATTTCCCCAACAATCCGGCTGATGCTCCAATGGAGCACCTGCGCCACGTGCACAGCTTCATACATCAGTTCAGGTGAATTCCCAGTGGTGGCGCGCCTTTCCTGAAAGAACTTTCTGGATAAATCCTTCTCTTGCTGCTGAAGATGACCAATCAACGTCTTCACGTCCTGGCGTCCAAAACTTGCGGAGACGAACGCAAGGACCACACGGGTAAACCAAGGATCTGCCAGAATCTAGGAAGTGTATGGAAGTGTGCGAGACTGGCTTTTGTTGACTATGTTGACTATAGGAGGTGATTGGAAGTGTTCCTCTGTCTGCTAGCCACTTCTGGTCCCAGAAACGCGGTGAGAGGATGTGGATGGATGTGGGGGGTATGTACTATATATTGCTTTATACCAATTTGAGCCAGCGCCTCTGTGTCCTAAGGAGTGAGTTCAATTACAGTAAGGCGTAAGAATGCAAAAAAAGGATCAAACACGCACACGTTTGGAGTCTGTACTACTACTGTCTTCCGATGTCTTCCTGTTTGGTTCTGCCGTCCTTGTGCTCATCGTCAGAGAGTTGTCCATCTTCCATGGCCTGCACCAAAATGTTGAGCAAATTTTCCATGGTCCGCAAGAGTGTGGCCGTTCGGGATCTCGCTTTTTGCATCAGCTGGGCATTCAGGCCCTTGGCATTCTCGGCCGTGGAGACTGTCCATGCATTGAAGGCCAGGAAATACACGCGATTGCTGGTTTGATCCATCGCATGTAAGACTTGCCTCTTTCTCTGTGTCCGGCCCATGCCAAAACCCTCCCACCAGGCTGCGCGGATGAGCGGGTCATTGTCGTCGGTCAGGGAGTGAAGCTCTCGCAAGTGCCTCAAGACCGCATCTTTTTCGTAAACATTAGGGTCATCGTCGCAGTAGTAGTCCACCATCATCAGGAGGACTTGAGAAATATTTCGATTCATCACAAACTGATTCTCTTGCACTTGCATCAGAGACCAGAGTGGATAAGGAAGCAAGGTCGCCAACATGACAGTGATAAAGCCAAAGCCTGTACAAATCAAGCCTTGCAAAAGGGTGTCTGTCTCTAGGCTCCAATCCCCAGCCCATGGAGGAGTCACCACTCCCTGAACTTCACTGTTGAGAAAGGTCATTAGAGTATTGGCGAAATTTGAGATAGCAAACATCTGCAAAGTCAAATTGAGATTCAAAAGCATCACGGCAAAAACGTAGGACACACCCACAGAAAGGCCAAGCCAAAAGTCCATCTCACGCCCTCCTTCCAGGTACCCGGTTGGACAGATCGTGTACAACAACCAGCCCATCAAAGCCGCCAATATACTGCCTTTTATCCCAGAGATGGCAATGTCAAAGGCCTCGCCAAAGGTTTTTCCCATGTTGAAGACAATGAAACAACACACACTGCTGTTGTAGATGCCATATTTGATGATCATGTCTCGCGTCTCCGAGACCCCCTCTGGGACAATCACGGGGATGCCACAAGCTAGCAAGAAGAAGGCACCCCGGAAGGAGAGTTCAGCATTGCTGGCGAACCTGGGGTTCAGCCTGTGTCCAAACAGTTGCTGCACATTCCTTCGGATGCAGCTGCGCTCAACTGTCTGCGGTCCAACTTCCAAAAGCAACCCCCTTGAATCCATTAGCGAGTTCGCCTCTGGGTTCTCTGCATCCATTGCTGCACCTCTCGCGCAATTTGGAGCCTTTAAAACGGATTCTGAACCGAACGGCTGCAACAATGCAATGGCGTTGCTTCAACAGCAATGACCCTCGTTACCAAACGTCGCATACTGCCCGGCTGGACTCGCAATTTGTATCTGCTGAAAATCGGATTTGCTGAATTCAATGCAAGTTTTTTCTTTGTCATTGTCCTTACACTTGTGTAACCACCACCTTCATCTGGGCAATGACCGTATCCATGCGGAAGTCACTGGCAATTTGGTTTACCTGTCACAGCCCCAGCTCATGGACGATTGCAAGCTGGTACATGTATGTGAGGAGCGTGAAAAGATGTGAAAAGCAGCATGCCTGCAACACACGCCTCTCTTGAAATGAACATTTTTTCAGGCATGGGCGAACATTTGTGCACATTTGTGCACCAAGCGTATGCTTGGTGGCTTAAGCCGCATACTTTTGCAGTTCCTGCGCTCTCAGAACGGAAACGCTGTCATGCCAGTTGTACCCCGTAGGGATAAACTGAATCCTCAGGACTCAGGACTCAAAACATCGTGCCTCATGTCTCTCCCCTTCTGCCTACAATCTGACTTATGACAGATGCCCCCCCCCAACCTGTGCTTTGGAAGAACATATTTGTCAAGAAACCGGCCGCTGCTTCCATTTTTACTCCCTGTCCGGTCCAAGGCACAGAAAGTACACCACACATTCCACAAACTGGAACCGTGGGAGGGCCATTGTCACATCCAGTTCCCTCCTCAAAAACTGCCAGAGCAGCTGGAGCCTAATTGCAACTAGCAGGTTAGCTGGAAAATGTGCTTGTCAACAGGTCAACATTTGACAACATGTCAGCTGCGTCCTGGGGTTTGCTGTCAATACCACAGTATCCAGCATCTCCCTGATCACCACTGTGACGTAAAAGCCGGATGAAACCTCCTTCTCCCCAGCCATCTCCCCAGGAATTTCGGATAAGCCAATAGTCCTCCGGCGGCCCCGACGAGGTGGCATCGTAAACAAAAGGAATTGATTGGTCAAAGTAGCAATGGGCATCTGCAAACATGAATTCATCCCTTAGTGCAGCAGCTAAAGCGATCTTGACAGTCACACCAACCTTGTTCTGCTCATTGTCGTGTCCAAATCCAACCAAAACTACGGCATGGTTCACGACAGCATTTCTGTCACAGGTGTCCTCAGCAAAAGCTCAGCATTTGAAGAAGCGCGCTTTCAAACGCAAGCAATTCAGGAAACTGCAAAAATCACATCCAGTGAGGGCGATTTGGATCTCATGAGGAATTTCGAAGAAGTCATTCTGTGCTTTCCAAAGACGTCAACAGCACTACAGAGTTCAGCCAAGATTCAAACACCCCACCGCCGTAAAAGTTCCAGCCGGCAGCATCAATGGAAACCACTACAGGGCCCTTTGTTGTTAAGGCCGCCATCAAAGGCTGAAGCTTGTTGGTGGGAAGTGGTTGGAAACCTTCACAGCAGGTAATGCAAGTCTTTAGTCTTCAAATGCCGAAGGGAACTGCTCAGGATCAAAATCTCTTTCAGTCTCTTTATTTGCACCGAACACGCCTCCAACCTTTAGGTATGCCGGAGTTTGAGTGCACTTCTCATCGTGATCCTTATCCTCATTATGAGCAAGTGCTCCGAAAGGACATGCAATTCAACAACTGAAACCAAATCGCATGAATATATAATGTTGATTAATATTGTATGAAGCTCCGTGGCAGACTCTGCACCAAGAATCTCCGTGATATACATCATCGAGGGCAACTCCATTCTTCACGATCCAATCCTCGGTCAAGAACTGCATTGCTTCTCTCTTCTCAGAATGAATCAAGGAAAAGCCGCAAACAGGTGAGCCTAAGCAAACCACATATGCCAGCTCAGAGGTAGACCCTCCACAGCCACCCGTTCCACCTCATTCAGTGCGATCGCAATTGAAACCGTTAACCTTTGGCAGCCAATCACAAACGCCATCAATTCGATCGACCGCCAAGACACCGCAATGATGGATGTTGGAGGAGCAATCCTTGACCTCCCGATCAAACGCAGAACGATTCTTGGAACCTGGTCTGGATAAACGGCAACGGCCACCATGAGACCCTGCTATGGGCGGTTTGCATATCACACATGATTGAAGGCCCGGACTTGTGCAAACAAAATACTGTAACTAAAATACATATATATATAATAGCATCCTTGCTCCTAGTAGCGATGCCCTTTGTTCCTAGTAGCTTCTTTTTACTAGTAGCGATGAGTAGCGATCACTGTTTTCAAACAACCTCAATCTTTCCACTAGTTAGTTGATTTATGATCTATTCAGAGAGCACAATGGGTCATGCCTTCATCGCCCAATGGAACTCCAAAAAGCCTAATTACGGCAATACCATTTCAGAAGCAAGACTTGACGCTCAGCAACAAAACACAGTGGACTAGAATACGAACTTGCACCACCATCCCCTCGCCAAGTGCCTGGTTCGAGGACAATGCGCCAATGGCCTTTCGAAGCGCCAACTCCGCGTGCATCTCCAATGCACCGATGGCAGCCACAGCCCAGCAGGAGCCACAGCCGCCCTGCTCCTGGTGAATGCTGGTGAACAAAAGGCCCTCCAGCCATACTGGTCTTCTGGACGCATCTGAGGTAATTACAGCAGCTGGACGTATGTAACGTCTGGTGTATCAGAGAATCAACACTGACACTTGTAGCAAGACCATTTGGCAATGTGAGCTTCAAAGTCTGTCTTCAAAGTCTGTTGCGTCCGACGCCCTTCGCGTTGCAAAGCAGGCAAAAGCGAATAAAAGTACCGTCCGAGAAACCCGCGAGGCGCACGAACCATAAACCAAAGGTGAACCCAACTCCCTCCCCTGATCAAGATGGTTACAGTAGAGCCGGAATGCAGCTGAATGCAAGAAGAACAAGCACTGTACTTGACTGGTTGAGTCTGTCAGATGTCTTTGTTTCAAGAAAGTGCAAGCACCACTTCGTGAGGATTAGCACATGTGGTCGCCTCTACATAATAACATATATGATAAATATACGCTGTATATATACATATATATACGTACTTACACATGAATGTAATGCAATATCAGCCACCTGAAAGCCCGTGCAAGTGTTCGAATAACTCTTCCAGCTCCTTGACATTCTTCACTGAAGATAATGTCTTGGACCAATCTACCTAAGCTCAGGTTCAAGGAGTGTGAATGGAATGAATGGAAGAACCCTTCCCAAAGTCTCTGCCATGCATGTACCTCCATGTCAAGAGATCAAAGACTCCTAGAGAACACCTTGAGCACAAGACAGGCACATCAATCTATGGGATTGCACTCAATGGAGGCCGAGTCTCTGTCTTGGCCTCCCCTCGAGGTCCAGTCTGCAGAAACGAACTTCCTTGCAAAATTGGACCAAAGCATGATGGCATACAGCAGGTGAATTGATCTGCCTATTTTGTGGGCTTAAAACAGCATGGCATCTGCTTGTTTCAAGTGCACTCCAAAGCTTCCTGTGGTGATTTCAGGTCTCCAGGTTCGCCGCTGGCCGAGCAGTACTCTGTATTCTGCATCTGTGTAATCCGCAAACTTGGTGATAACCTCAATGTTCAGTGTGACTTATGTGGTGCTGGAGTGCCTCTGGAGTGCCTGCTAGATGCTCATGTAGTAGTTAGTAGTTTTGCATCACTTGCGGAACGCATCTTGTGCAACTCAGCCTGCGGCAGCTGTCCAGCTCACATCTGACCGGGAGTTGTGTTGTTCAACTGCTGCTCGGAACTTGCCTCATCACCGGCGAGTGATGCCATCTTTTTTCAGGTGCTGTGGGTTCACAATACGTGGGGAATTTTGGTAAGACCACTACCGACCACTGAACCGACCTCAACCTGACTACTGCATACAATTGCCGTGTCCGGTGTTTTTTCGTCGACAGGTGACGAAAGTTCTCCAGGCGCTGCTGGTAGGTGAGTTGGTCTCCTGTGCTACTGCGGTTGTGCCTCAAGGCGAGCTGACTTGTGATATTCTCTGGCTCTGGTCACGAAAACCATCGAAAACCAAAGGAACCTACTATATAGACCTCTCAGAATATATAGATCACCCAATCGTCCATTTAGTAAACTTGCTGAACACACGAGACTACTTGATCCATTGTGTGCGACAAGACACACTTCCCGAAATCGCTTGTAGGCAGTCTCATCATCCTCGCACAAAGTAGCAAAACCATGCAAAGACTAGAGCACATCAGAGCAAGGGAACCATTGATCTGCTTAAGTGGACTGATGGAAAATGCAAATTTGGTGGCTGCCTCTTTGCTTTCCAACGAAGAGCTTGCCTCTTCCGACATGTGCTTGTCACGCTCCCCGAGCACGATTGCACAGAGAGCAAGAAATGCGACAATCCTGCATGCCACAGAAAAACGGGCTCGCTGTTCCAGGCAACAAAACAAAAGTGGGACACGCAGTCCTTCTTGAGTGAAACTTCATCATGGTGCTTTTGGCAAACACTACAAATACCGCTGAATGGCTGCGACATGGCATTACACTTGGCACCAAAAACGTAACGTGGTTCGCCCTTACAAAGCGTTGTTTGGCTCTGAATTGGCTTAAGATGCTTTATATAAGTTATATAAGTGGTTAAGTATGTTTTCGTGGTATCAATGCAGCCATGCCTCTGGCAATAAGTGTGCTTGAGGCATCACCTGGCAAGCATCCTTTGATGCTAACCCAGATTGATGAACCACCCCACGCACAGCCCGAAGGTAAGCTGCAATTAGATGGATTCTTGTGCATCCGGAAACCCTTGTGAAATCATGTGGACCAAAAATTGCGAGGACAGCCGGGGAACGAGGTGGTTGTCCTGTTGAAATTGCAGCATTTTGTGAAACGCAATGGCAGGGCCACAGAAGGGTTGCGGAGGGTGATAGTGTGTGGGGCAGTTCTATTGGGGAACAGAAGCGGTGGATGCCAGCGGCGAGACATGGAGCCAGGAACGGAAAGGCAATTGCTTAAAGGATAAGGATGATTACCCTTTGTCACCTTCTGTAGTATTTAAGAAGAATTTACAAGAAATCTATGAATTTTGCAACCTAGAAATGTTTGGGGTTCCTAGATCTGGTGAATCGTGGCTAGCTTTCCTTACCAGAAGGACATGAACAAACATGCAATGAGACAAAGGATAAAGCAAGCAACATTCAGGGATAAATCTGCAAACAATCAGAATGCGACTTGCATACTGCATACTCCATCCAACTTGAGGCCAGAGGGGGTGAACGAAAGCTAGCCGGGCTTCCGGTGGTCTGCTGCTGGTGCTGCTGCTGCTGGTGCTGCTGCTGCCGCTGCTGCGCTGGGCGCTGCTGCGCTGGGTGCTCTGCAGGCGCCGGGTCGTCTGCTGCTGCTGGCGCTGGGTGGTCTGCTGCGGCTGCTGCTGCCGCGGCGTTGGGTATGCTGCTGCTGCCGCCGCTGGGTGGTCTGCTGCTGCTGCTGGTGCTGCTGCTGCTGCCGCTGCTGCGCTGGGCGCTGCAGATGCTTGGTGTGCTGCAGCTGCTTGGTGGTCCCGCTCACCGCGCGCAGGGGGGAGTCGAACCGCGGGGGGGGGGGGGGGTCCATAAGATTGATTTAATCAATTATTTGAGGTTTCTGAGGTGCGTCCACCCCGTCACTTAACTTGCTAAAGCAAGAGCAACTCCAGCTAGCTAAGGCTAGCTTTCGTGAAAAGAGCTCAAGAACAATCCGCCACGTGAATCCATGTTCCGCGGGTATGTGTGGACCAAGCCTGAGGTGGGTAAATCAAATGGAGCCACGCAATGACACCCTCGACAGTCCGGCAATCTGCTGCACCTCTGCGCGACAGCAAAGGTTCCCCAGCCACGACCCCGGTCCGGTGACGTCGTTTGACAGTTTGAGCTGAGCCCGATGCTTTTGGTGCGGCCTCTGATGTGGAGCGTCCGTCCCCAAATGGGATCCAAGCCTTGAGATGGCCATGTATCACAAATTGTTCCGAAGATTCATCACAAATGCTCTCAGGTGGTTTGAGGTGATCTGAGGTCTGTACTGGAACCGTGAAGATCATCCTCAGTGTGATGGCTTGCGTTTGAGATTGAGATACGATGCAAAGCCTATGAAATGGAGACATTTAGGCAAGTGAGGCCCCAACCCGAAGTTTTTTTGAGTAGAGACCTCAACAAAAAGAAGTATCCAAGGGCTGACACCTATCTTCCTTCCCCAAAAGGTGCCAGGCTGAGGATGTCATAGTGAGCGAAAAGCCGACGTCCTTGGACCAAGATCAGCCTCAGTCAACTACGGTAGCCACATCAAAGTTTCCAGCCGTTTGAGTTGCAGGCGTGTCTGGGTGCCCAAAGCGATTGAGAACCACATCATCCCTGTCAGGGCATGAAAAAATTGCTACTTGGTGCTAATGTTGTAGATTTGTAACATTGTAGACTGTTCCGACTGCCTTGCCAATTTTCCGCAAGTCCTTGATATTCTAATATACCGTATTATAACGTATAGTATATATATATATGGTATATAACGGGTGTCTAGAAAAGAGATGAACAGAGACTCTTTTTTCAAGGGCCATCCAGTGCCTCTTGGAGAAGTCGGGCTTTGCCATTGCCATGGCAAGGCTGCGCCTTGCTGCCAACAAAGTACACCCCGGAGTGGTATGTGTGCAGTGGTGTGCGTCGAGTCAACTGAGCCACGCTGGCTCTCTAAGCCCTGGACTTCTCAAAACTTCTCATCTTGAGTCACCAGGCGTCACTAGCAGCCTTTGGAAGCTCACGTCCTTGGAAGTGGATACGGCGGATACGGAATAAGCCTCCGTAGGGAGAGTTGGCTGTCCAGCATCTGGCACTTGTCAAACGGCCTTCTTTTGGCGTGGGCACTCGCTGAGACCAGCATCGCCGCCCTTTGGCGTTCAACTTTGGCCCAGTTTCGGGCTTACGGCGCCGAACAGCGGTGCGATTAAACTTCTGTCTCAGAGAAACCTCGGACAGCTTTCAGCCGCACATGGCAACATGCCTTTTGCTTGAGACGCTAGTCTTTGTGATCTCCCTTCGATGGTTCACAACTCGAATCCATTCCTCCAAGCATCTGGCATCCTCTTATCCAAAGCAGTATTTTCCAGCTGTGACTGTCGTCCTGGCTGACAATGGAGGCTTCCTCAGACAGCAACACTGCGACAGGTCGCCACAAACATCGTCTATCAACGCTTAAAATCACTTAGCTTATATAAACAAAGCTTTCGGTTGAGACTGAGACGGCTTTACGCCAAAGCTCTGAAGCGGGTGAAGCGTAAACCCACGGCGGCTGCCAAAGGAGAACTCCGGTCCACGCAACGCCTGAGCACAATCCATTTCAGATCCACGGCCCCGGTGCTTTGACCCAGTAGCTTTTTGTTACTAGTAGTGAAAATGTTGTTACTAGTCGTAAGAATGCTACTAGTAGTGATGCCAGGAGCCCCTAGTAACGTCCTTGCTCCTAGTAGCGATGCCAGGAGCCCCTAGTAGCTTCTTGTTACTAGTAGTAAGAATGAGAATG